CTTCAGATAAAATTACAGTATAACATAAAAATCCATTGAATTCTAAATTTTATGATAGCACAGCTTTTAGTACACTGCAATAATAAATCATTTTAGCAAGACCTGCCAAGACTTTGGACTAACAATCAGCCTGAAGAAAACACAAGTCATGGGCCAGGGCGTGGACTCACCTCCCTCTATTACCATCTCCACACAAGAATTGGAGGTTGTTTATGACTTTGTGTACCTTGGCTCAATGATCTCTGACACAAACTTTCTAGATGTCGAGTTGGATAAACGCATTGGCAAAGCAGCTACCATGCTCTCTAGTCTCATAGAGTATGGCTTAATGAGAAGTTCATATTTCATACTTTCCAGTGCACATACAGTCTAAAGAACATACACATGACTTTATATTATCTTACACATGACCCACTTCACCCTTTTTAGGTGTTCTTATAGTATATTTCTCTCAGAACATAAGTCAATGTAAAATCCTCCAAGTGCAACAGAATAGACATGGAGCCAACAATTTATACACTCTAATAACATTAGAGGGGCTACCTCAGCTGGCATTATACCCTTAACAACCAAACATCACTAAAATGGAGGTGACAAATCAAGGTTTTGTGAACAACCCACCCCTCCAATTTTAGTTTATTGTTACAGTGTACAGATTCCACTACATCCAAGTTGCTGCAGCAATGTTGATGTTCTATACATTTGCAAAGACAACCTGAACTAAACAAGTCTGAAATAATCATAGAACTGCACAGCTAGAAGAGACACCAAGTGTCACTGTATCCAGCCCACTGGCAATGCAGGAACTAAAGCACCCCTGATAGGTGGCGATCCAACTTCTGCTTAAAACCTGCCTGTCAAGATTATTGCCTGGACAGAGAGGCCCACAGTAACCACTCAAGGCCCACAGTAACCACTCAGCAACACTGCCCAGACTTTCCTGGTGTGGGTGATTTTTAGAAGGGCTGGGCTGATGGTTGGGAGAAATCTTCCTGCCTGGTAGTGATACCTCAGTATTTATTTATTTATTTATTTATTGATGATTTTTAGACGGGCTGGGCTGGTGGTTGGGAGAAATCTTCCTGCCTGGTACTGATTCCTCAGTACTTCATGGAGTTACAAAAAATTCACAAGGTTCAGTGTTTTAGCCTGTATACCAAACCTGCTAGATAGGAATACCAAAATACCACCCAGTAGGTGGTCAAAGCAAGACCTTTATTTAGAACCAGCAACACTCTTTTATTCCCAACTAAACGGTTGTAAAATGTTATTATTTTATTATTTTATTGAAGATATTACAATATGTAAAAATAGAAAAGAATAATGTTCCAGATAGTTCAAAAAGTACAGTGGCGCCTTGCAAGACAAATGCCTCGCAGGTCAAAAAACCCGCAAGACAAATGGTTTTCGCAATGGGGATTGATGACTCGCAAGAAAAATGTTCCTATGGCCTTGCTTCGCAAGACGAATGTTTTCCGTTTTTTTGTTCCTGCCTCATGTTTGCTGATTTTTGAATGTTTTTCTATGATGTTTAAAAAGTTAAAGTTTTTCAATTGAAATTTTTTAAATCATCTGCACAATATGTATGGCTTTAAAGAGCACTTAATAAACCCACACCAGGAAAGTCTGGGCAGTGTTGCTGAAAAAAAACCTTTTTGTTGTTTCTAACCTCTCTTCCAAGTATGAGTTCAATCCGAGTTATAGCCCTCTAGACCTTCTCCTGAGAAATACTGGCTACCTGATTGTGCCTTATGCAGCCATCTCTGTTTTTTCAGATGTCACCTTTTCTTTCTCATAGGAAGTTTTTGTGCTTGTGCCTTCAGTATTTTTCCTTTAAGAAACTCCCAATCTGCCAATCCTTTCTTTTTGAGTATTTCTGAACATGGAATCCTACTTATTTCCCTTAAGTTGATAGAAAGAAGATTTTCTTTAAAAGTCCAGAATGTAGACTAACACTACTGTTAGTTTTCCATTTCCTTAACAGAACAAATCCCAAGAGGGCAAGATCAGGTCCATCCAAAGTTCCCACTGTCTCTTTCTTGCTGACAAGTTCTTCCTTTTTTGGTAAGGACCAATTAAACAATAGCTGATCCCCTTGTTGTTTCTTCTACCTTCTAAAAAATGAAGCTGTTGGCGAAACAAGGGAGGAATTTGTTGGAGAAAAGAAAATCTGTCAGCTGAATTATCCCATTCTGTTTCTGTTCTCAGTGTCCTACCAAGAGTTACTTTCTATGATTAAGCTTTTAAAGACAGAGATTTTACATCTGTTTACTATTAGGAATCCTGACACTCAATCCTGACTAAAGCAGGTCAATCTGCCCAAAGTATTTAGTCCTTTGGTCAAGACTTTCAGCTTCTACTAGTTTACTTTTTTATTGACATGAGGGCTGACACAGAAAGCTGCATACCTAAACTAAGTAATCTTTTACGAAGAATTACATTAGAGTTTATTTCTTAGACATAACCACAGAATGTTGTCAATTCCATCTAACTAAATGTCAGAGGAACAGAATCTAAAATTGGTTTGTTACTATGACGACTAATGAACCAATCTAACTCTGAGCCCCTAGATCAGTGTGAATAGCAAAGGCAGTTAGTCCAATGTTCAGACTCCGATTTTTGTCTTCAAGAAAAAATATCTAACTCTGAAGACTACAACAATGCATTGTTGTTGGTGTTAGATGCCATCACATCAGAACTGACTTATAGCAACCCTAATAGGCCTTTCAAAGTAAGGGAGATATTTAAAGAGTGGGTTTGCCACTGCCACGCCCCCCATGGGTTTCCATGGTCAAAAGGGGATTTGAATGCCTCCTAAGTCCTAGTCACATCCACTGCACCACACTGGGTATTAAAGCCTTAGCCGGTCTATCTATCAAATATCCTCAAGTTCTCACTTGATGGCACATTATTAACAAAAGCAAAAAAAAGCAAAGTGTTCTGCTTATACCACCCCATAGTGCTTAAAGCATTCTAGGGGCAGTTTACAATTTTTTGATTACACAGGCTACAAATTGCTCCCACCCCCCACCCCCCGCTGGGCACTCATTTTACTGACCTCGATGGAAGTATGAGTCAACCTCAAGCCAGCTGTCAGAATCCACTAGTACCTAACACTGATCATGAGCAGAGTTTTGCCTGCAATATTGCATGCCACTGTGCAACAAGGCTACAGAACTAGAGTGGGGGAGATATGTAATTATTTCCCTTCTCCTCTGAAGTCTTCTGTAGCTCCCAAAATTTGCTGAAGATAAGCAGGGAACCTTCTGGGTCAGAGAAGGACTAGGGACGAAACACTAGAAATAAATCCCCTCCCAGTCTACTGATAGAATATTTCTGTCAGTTAATGGACACTAATTTGATGCTACCCAAGGAGATCATGGCTAAAATTCTGTTGTGTAACTTTGTACTGCATAAAGCTGATGATGTCATCAGCCTCAGCAGATTTTCAGGAATTAAAAATTTCATGGGGCAGCAGAACAGGGAAAGTTTTTAACTTCCAAAAATTTGAAAGTCTTTTACTGCCATAAAGTTGCACAACAGGATTCCAACCATGGCATACCATCCTAGCAAAATTTTTATAATCACTGGATTGACAGAAATCAATAGAACAGAAGTCAATTAACTCAACGTTACTAGACTCAAGTCATTATCAAACACAATGATTTTTTTAAATAACATGAGCTTAACAATGAATTATTTAGTCCAACAGCCACTATATTTATGGTAAAGATGCATTAAAGCGGTACCCATTTTTGCTTAAATGAAATATTAATATAATTTTAATTTAGAAATGAAAATCTGTTAATTTTTTTGTTATTTAAAACCTAAATGGCAAAGGAAAAACAAACAAAACAAAAAATATACATACATAAATCAGCAACCATCTGAACTTTAAGAAAATTGCTACTATAAGTTTATTACTTCATACAGTTAGTAACATCCTGTAAAATACAGCAATGCTGATTTTTACATCAGTCCTACAAAAAGAAAACTTTATTGAACCTACAAATCCAGGGATATTGCAATATTTGCTTCACTGTGTTTGACATCTTAACACAGAGGGTAATTCAAGAGTTAAATAGACTTATTTCAGAACAAATGGTTTGAGGATAGAGGCCAAACATCCTGATATTTAACATCTATCACTTGTTATGGACCTTCCACAATGTATTTATGCTGTTTGTAAAGCAAGTAGTCATGTTTAGTGATGCTGCGTTTGCATAAATGTGAGCCCTTTCCTTTTCGTGCATTTTAAAGAGGGACTGAAAATTTTATGATCAAGTCATTCACTAGTAATTAGATAGCAGAAGATGTTGTAAAACCACAGTCTCATACATCCATTTACACTGTAAAACATTTACAACTGAGGATAACTAAACAACAAAATCTAAAGAAAAGGAACCATTCTCAGAGTGCTGGAAAGAAACACCAGTTCTCATTAAATCACAAAGGGATGCAGCAGCTGGATACAATGTGTTAGATGAACGTGTGCAGGTTAGAGCCATAGCAGGTAGTGCTAAAAAGAGGGTACTAAATGAACAAAGAGCAAACAAAAGCTCAAAAGGAAATTGTGCCTCTTCACACCCAAATTTGTAAAACTGAACCACATTATTGGGTCTGGGCCAATTAAAAGCCACACCAAAGTAGAAACAAAGATTCTGTGTGCTGCAGATACAAATCAGGTTCATGTTTACAAAACACGATGTCCTGTTAGTTCAATGCACTATAAGAATAAACTAATGTTCGCAAAATGTTATTCAACTATTAACTTCAGTGACAAAGGGACTTACTTTACAGAGCAAAAAAAGAGCGAATAAAGACAATGGAACAAAAGGCAATGCAGCTACACAGAAGGTTAGATGCACAAATGATTATTAGATATAATACTTTTTTTAAAAAAAGGTTGGCTTGCAACATTGCATTTTTTGAAGTAACCTATCTCTATGGGAGAAATGGGCAGGCACATAGTAGATTTCTCATCATGAAACATTTCTCACCATTTCTCTTTCTTCCCTCCTCTTTTGTCACTTTCTGCTGTGCCATTACTTTCTGTGGAGAGCCTCTGCCTGAATTGGGCTTTCCTGATTCGTTGCTGATGACAGAACCATTCTCACTAGGCGACCTGCTGCAAGTAACCATAGCAACAAGGAAGAAGATTGTAAGTTTCTCCTGCATATTCCTCATTTCAAGGTTATCACATTTGCTTGGTTTGCATCACTGACTTTTCACATCTGATTTTTATATAAGAATGAAAGATTTAAAATATGTTGCAATAAAGAAACAATAAAGCAAGGAGCAATCTATATTGTGTGTACGTATGAATGTGTGTGTGTATGCATGCGCTGAGAATTGAGATCTCTGCAAATTCATAATTGAATCCCTCTCCCCCCTTAAAATAAACTTATAACGACAAAGGAAAATCTTACAGAGGATAAAAGAGCAAGAGTTTGGGTGTGTATTTTTTCTATAAAACAATTTTGACATTTGCCTCAACATTATTTTTGAAAAGTTGCTGCAGCTATATTTCATATATTTTCATGTATGGAATAACTCTGCAGCTGTATTTCTGAAGGAACTGTTTAATGGCCTGTACATGGGGGGAGGACCCCTTCCTTTATTCTTTGCAAGAATTTCTCTCATCACTGAGTTTATAAAAGCCATTCAATTATGAATATATATTTACTTTACATTTTACACACCTGGGTACCTACACGAAATGTATAAATTATATGCATTTGCATTTTTAAACAGTAAAGCAAACAGAGTACAGAAGAAATTTCCAGAAGGATCACTTTGTTGGTTGGCTGCAGCAAAACTGGAAAAAAAAAGTCATGGGTCACTATAAAGACAACCTGGTTCTGTTTTGCACAAGCTTTTGCGGATAATAGGTGACTTCTTCAGACTGCATCTGAAGAAGTGGGCTACATTCCCCGAAGCTTATGCCAAATAAAATATGTTAGCCTAAGGTATCACAATATTATAGCAGGTTCATTATCCAAACCCACCAAAGATTCCAAGTATCCACTTCCATTTTCATCTAACCACCGTTTGTGCAAACTACTAAGAGCAAAATGTATATTTCCTTAAAGCAATCCAGACCATGGTAGGAAGTTAACACAATTAAAACTAACCACAATTTGTTTAGATTCAAACATAACAACAAATCACAATTACCGTAGCTGAAAACAGGAACAAATATTCCAGGTCTCTTCTTTATGGTTGTGCCAAAGATCAGCCAAGTCAGAGTTCAGAAGCCTAAGGTATTCATACTATGCTGAATTATTATGGTTTACTGGCAACTATAACACAATGTCTGAAAGATGTATATATTAGAAGTGGAGTATTCATATACGAATATGAATATCCCCCCACAGGTGGATATGGGGCCAGACTGTCCACTCACCATTCCGCTGCGAACTCAATAGAGCCTTCCTATCACTCCATTGTCCACAATGGATCAGCCAGGCAGGAGGCAGGATGACGAGCCTTTCTGCCAGGTCACAGAGTGGCTAATCCATTGCAGACAATAGAGTGATAGAAAGGCTTCATCGAGCTTGCATCAGTGGACAACTCCATGGGGCCAGATCCTCGTTATCTCCACCTGTTGATAGAAAGGCTTCATCAAGCTTGCATCAGTGGTGGAATCATGAGTAGACAGTCCAACCCCATGGCGCCAGATCCTCGTTATCTCCACCTGTTAGGGGATGTTCGTATACAAATACCCCCATCTCTAGTATATATCTTCATTATCAGATACATCAAGTGACAGCTATCTCAATCAGTCTTGTTCCTCTTAGACCCTATTTTAGTCATTCTTCTTATTTTGGAAGAATCTTGTAAGTTCAACCTCATAATTAAAAGAATGTGACAGTGTCAAGGTTTGAAATTTGGTGTGTATAAAGTGCTAAAATAATTAAGGGGGTTAAGAAACAAGTAGCCCTGAATATGAAAATGCTTCTAAATTGAGGCTTAAACAACAGTTTACTATAGTAATTTCAAACCAGTTAGCTAGCTCCACCTGAACAAGGTCACTGTATCATAACTATCGTGCCAGTTGAACTTGTTTTGCAAATATCAACAATTAAATATCAACAAAGGATACAGATTTTATAATTTCTACTCTTTAAAATTATTATGTTCTGGTTTTCCATGTTTGGAGGGTTCTAGATATTTTATGTTACCAGCCTTTATTCCTCCAAGCTCTGTAAAATTTTAGTCATAACAATAGTGTTATCAACATGGTATCAATTTGCCAGATTTTGAGTTACAAAACCTTTGACATTACAGAAAGTGCAGGAAGTCATTTTCTTTAATATTCTTAAGAACGTTGACATTTTAAGATATATTACCAGCTTTTAAATGTGCCCTTTTTTGACTATAAGCGCTTAAATTTATACAATGTAACTTAAAACATTGTTTTTTATACTTTACTGTATTTTTGCTCCTCTATTTTGGATTGAATTCTAACTTAAGTATTTGCCTGTAATTTAAGTTTAGTATTCATATATTTTTAAATATATGTGCCTGTAGTTTTCTTCATAGCTATAAGACTTGTATTATTCATATATTTTAAATATATGTGCCTATAGTTTTCTTCATAGCTATAAGACTTGTATCTTTACAATAACTTTGAAGCATTTTGTGTTTATGGAACATAGATAAATAAAGCTTGTAAAATTAGACAAAGTGCTGTTGCCTGGAATTATTGCAATAATGAAATGACACATGCCTTGACACTCAGATGAATTCTGATATAATTGTCAATGAGTGCTTGGTTTCATTATGGAGTTAACCATTTTGGGGGGATAATAACAGCTGTGATTAACACAGGCTTCTGATTTTTGGGGGAAAATAACAGCTGTGATAAACACAGGCTTCTGATTTTTCCTTGGAGGTTTATATGACTCTTAAGGAGGAGGGCTCAGCCATCACTTTATATCATCAGACATCAGTTGACAGTGAAATATCAGTTTTTACAGCTCTGCAGTTGCCTAAGGTCTTTGATTAATACTGAGGAACTATTACCTTGTGATTTATCAAACTATTACCTTGTGATTTATCAAACTATTACCTTGTGATTTATCAAAACTAACACTAAGCATAAAAGCAAAAGTACGCACATTGTTTTCCACTTGCCTGCCATTTCTTTACCCATCTCCTTTTTGAAATTTCAATTATAAGCTTCTTGAAATAAAGACTTGTCTGAGCACTATGTTATTATCATAAAAAGGAAACACATTCTTTCCCATATTGCCAAATCATTCATTTTCTCCACAGTAAGCCTAAGGTAAGCAGTGAACGACAGGACTGCAGCCGAGAAACATTGGTATCTGAGGTGGCAAGTGGATATATTTTCAAAATAATAATTCTGAGGACACTCCTATTGATGAAAAGATTTTTACTGATTAATTGTCTAGGTAAGGAAGAAATGTTTCCTTGACTTAATACCAATTAGCAAATTAGCAGCAATACAGCAACAATACTTTAAAATGATTGAAACATTCATGCAATCTGTGACTGTAGCCCTGTATACCGTGCATTGTAACAGTGTAAAGTTAAATTTTAGAAGAGGTAGCCCCATTAGTCTGTGCTAGCACATGAGGCAAAAACAAAAACAAAACAAAAAAAGAAAGAAAGAAAAGAAAAAATTAAGAAGACAAAACTGTTTGAGGAAGTGGACTTGTCCACAAAAGCTCACATTAAAATATAGGAGTTAGTCTTTAAGGTGCCACAATGGTTTTGTTGTCTTTTTTGTTTGTTTTGTTTTGTTTTTGCCTGATAGCTCAAAGTTAAAGTTCTCAGAACAGCAGCCACTGTGGCTGGTTTCTCTCAGAACTGCAGCTGATGAACGGCGCTCTGTTCAGTGGAAGCTGTCCTCCAGTGGAAGCTGATGCTCCAGTGACTGGATCTAGAAACATCTCAGAACTATGAACCGGCCCCTGGACTGGAGAGACAAAGACTATAATTCATCTGGAACAGAATGGATGTCCTTCAAATGGACATACATTAGTCACATTTTCTTCAGAAAATCTATGCATTGCAGAACTATATCACGGTAATCCAGGCAGTCTTTTTTTCTCCTGATAATATCAGGATACAAATACTGTGAACACTGTAAACATTGAGATGTCAAGAGCAAAACATTCATTCCTCACCAGTTTCAAAATAAAGCAACTATCACCTAAGCTCAACTCATCCTGCCACTGTCAATACATACCTCTTTCTTATGTCATTGGACTTGGCCGTTTTAGCCATGCTTCCATCCTGAATAATATCCCTCTCCTGGGAAGCTGGAGCATCTCTCACAGGAAGCGGCAACACAACAGTCTCTTGAGTAACAGGCAAAACTTCATCTTCCGCTCCCTGTTGGCCTAAATGTTGCTTGGCATAGTCAAAGCCTTGAACTGGCTAGAGAAGCAAAACAAAACAGATTCATATATTATTTAGCTTAAAGCAGAAAAACTAGTTACCTTGCTTTGCTTTGGTTCCATTATTTGCCTGTTTTGAATCCGGATGAGCTACCATATTGTTGCCTACATGGCCCTGGTACAGGCCATCCTACATTATTTTCTTCCCCCACCTTCAGCTATGGCGAACTAGGTGTGTGTTTTTTGTTTGTTTGTTTTTTAATCAACATCATCTTTGTATAGACTGCTGCAGCCAGCACAACTAATGAGCAGCTTAGGAAAATGTAGCCATGAGGCAGGAGAGTAAAGAAGTCAAAATAGTGCCAGGAGACGACAGCTGCAGCCAGAATCAGGGAAACGAATCTCTAAGTGCAACGAAACTATATTTTGCACATTTGTATTTTAACAGAGACAATTTACTCAGTAGAATCAAATCAATAAAAAGGAAAGGAGGAAAGAAGAAGGATTATAGAAAAATATCTGAAATAAGGATTGTTTTTAAATACTTATGGCTGAAATCCTAACAGTGTAACTTATGCCAACAGGATTTCAGTCACTGTTTCTTAGACAAGTAAATACACTGTTTGAATAGACAATATGAATAAGACAGAAAATGCATTGGGAGATATTTTGAGCCTAATTTAAATCAGTACCTTTAAACACTTTTCTCATCTAGAACAACATAATGTTGCAATATTAAGTTTCACTCTTAGGTTGCTTCAGAATACGAATGAAAACACCTGGCAATAAATGATGAACCAGTAAACCAGTAACATACATTGCCTTCTTTTTTGAACTGCATAGTGGAATACCTTGAGTTTGAAGTGAAGCATTATTCTTTAAAGCTTTTTGTGTTCAGTACATGCTGGAACATATCCATTTTTAATTTCACCAATGGCACGGAATTGTCTACAATACACAACACCATCTGCTTTATGTAAAGATTAGCTCCTGTTCAGGAACTTGTGACAATAAATTACATTTCACAGAGGCGCACAAAATTCAGCACGTACACTAGTCCTAAAATTATCCTTGTTTTCTTTCTAATTTAACTGCATTCTTACCAACAGTGCAATCCTGCCTCAAAAACATACTCACTATAAGGCATTTATAATAGGCAGAAATGCCCCTATTTCAACACAACCATCTTTAGCTGCCTGATTTTCCGACAGCTGCCAGGAGAGCAATCTTCCAGCACAACTACTTTGCCAGCTAAGACCTGTTGGCAAAAGAGCCCCAAAATGGGTGGATAAGAGGAAACAAAAAGAAGGAGCTGAGTCACACCAGATCCAAGGTTTCTTTAGCTGTGAGACACAGACAGCATTCTGGCACACAATTAGGCCAGAGCCAGGATAGTCTTCAGTGATGCAACATCCTTAGACTGGGGCAGGGATGGGGGATCAGATTCAGCATTACTTCAGCTGGCCCAGAGTCTGCTGAGCCAGCCCTTGGCCATATTTATTATTTGGATTATATTCTCAATCTGTTTTTGTCTGCATTTTTATACTTTTAACACACCGCTTAATACAAACAGAGAAGGTATTGTCGGTTCTGAACGAATGCCCACATGGTAAGAAAATACTTAGCATTGGTTCAGGACCAGAAGCCTTTGTGTCTGCCATCGGCTCTTGCTACTGCCTAAAAAGACACAGCATGCATGCCTCACTGTAGGGGCATAAAATGTATACAGATCCAGGTCAGCCTACAGCAGGGGTCTCAAATTCAATTTACCTGGGGACCGCTGGAGGCAGAGTCTGGGTGAAGCTGGGCCTCATCAGATTTTCCACCAAGTGGAGCAAGAGCCCGAGGAAGCCACCCAGGGTTTCCTTAGCCCAGCTGGGGCTCCAAGGAGGAGGAGGAGGAAGAGGGGTGTGCGCGCCCTCGTCACTGGCCACGACCTCCTCCAGCTCCTTCTTCACTACCACTACCACCAGCAGCAGCAGCAGGACCAAGAAGCAGAGAAGAGAGGGAGTGCCGGCAACCGCCTAGCTGGGGTGGGGAGGGCACAACATAAAATTTAAAAAAAACCTCACAGAATCGCCTTGCCAAAGTAGAAAAGCCCCCATCAGTACCCGCAAAATTAAACAGAATGGGGTGGGGCCCCCATAAACACACACACGCACACGGAGGTCTGGCAACCTTCCTCTGAGGCCCCCCCTCAAAAAAAGGCGCACTCAACAGCAGCAGCTACGCCCACCACGATGGAGGAGTAAACTTTGTGAGGCGAGCCCAGGCAGCCTCCAGAGCTGAGGCGGTTGAAGCAGGACGAGGAGGAGGAGGAAGAAGAAGCACCGCCGGTCGCTGAGGTGGCCGCTGGCCGGGCTGGTGCTGGGGGTGCCGAGAGAGAAAGAGAGACAGAGAGCCACTTCCCTGGAAGAGGTGGTGGCGGGGGCAGCTGCTGTTGATGGCTTGGAGGCCCTCTTTGAGGATGGGCTGGGAGCAAGTTCTGCTCTCAGGCATCGCTGGGCGACGGCTCAGGTGCTTGGGGAAAAGGGCTGGCAGCACGCCTCGCTCACCGGCTCTCCCTCAAGACAGCAGGCAGGCTGCAGTTCTGGATGGAGGATGCAAGAGGCAATGTCTTGTGAGAGAGCCGGCGAGCGAGGCAAGGCTGCTTTTTTTACTCTGGACAACAGAGGACGTGTGGAGACTTCGGGGGGGCAGGCAAGTCGGGGGCCACAAAATATCATCCGACGGGCCGCAAATGGCCCCCGGGCCGCATGTTGGAGACCCCTGGCCTAGAGTCTGAAGGCCTGAGGCTAATTTGAAACTGATGCAGGAGTTTTCGGTCCAAGAACCTCAGTGTCCAAAATATACAGTATTTCCAATTCTGAACTCCACTCCGTCATTAACGTCAATCGCTTCTGCCATATTTCATAGAAAATAGACCATCAAAACTTCAACTTGGGCTGTCCCAAGCTCTAGATGTCTTTTCCTACATATGAGTGAAAATTGTTAGCACTTGTAGGGAGAATGAAGACAGTACTTGATAAGCAGGAGTTCCAATTCAACCCCTTCAAATATTTTTGCATTCCTTTCACAGATCTCACTTCTCTATCAAACCTGGATATATTCAAAAGCAAAGAAATCTGCTAGGCAGTCGAAGTTCATGCACATGCCACCTCTTTCATTCCTCAAATCAACCTGTAGTTACTCATGCAATCAACCAGTAAATAGAAACTGCATTAACCACCTATTGTACCATATAATTCTTCCTTATTCTCCATTTTTAAAACAGAAAAAATGCAACAACTTGGAAAAAATGTAGGGACAAAGTTTCTTACCCATTTTTTCTATGCACACAACAGGTTTTTTTTTTTTAAACGAAACAGGTTACAAATTAATCCTATGAATTCCGCTGCCAGTGTGCTATAAAAATGTTGCCATCTGTGAAACAGCATAAGAAAATGAACCATTGTACTTCCCATCTCCACCCACCGCCACCCGCTTTATTAATCTTATTTAGGCTGACCTTTGGCCATCAATTACTTGCTCTTTTTCACAGCATGATTTTCCACTGATTATATTTTCCACTGAAGTGTTTATAATTCCTCTGGGTATTTTTCAGACTGCTGCCCAAAGTATGCTCACTTTGAGAAAGAAAATTAACACAAAAATTACTGGGAATTATTTATAAATGAAAATGTATAGAATGGGAGAATGCAAGGAATATGGACTGCAAGGTTAGAGAAGATGATACTGTATGACATTCCTTCGGGATGTTAGTTCCACATTCATACATGTGGAAGGGCTACTGCAACTACTGCATACATGTAATCATAATATCTACATAGGCATTTAGACTCAAAGATGCTAATGTTTGTATAAATCCCAGTTGTCCAATCTGCACTGTAATTTTTAGGCACGTGCAGACTTGTGCTTCTGTACTGCACCTCCCAGAATTCTCCAAGAACTCCCCAGGCAGAATTCTGGGAGTTGCAGCCAAAAGAACACCTCTAGAGGTCATGGTCCTTCCTCTCTCGAGGTGTAGGGATGGGACGGTTGGCTGAAGTGAGCGTTAAGCACAGGCACACAGGAGAGAAGCAAGAAGTTGTCTCATGTCAGACAAATGGGCACAGTTATCATGCCAGCTTTGACTCTTAAACAGCAAATTCACATTACGGGCCTTAAACCAGTTAGGACCCTACTTTGAAGTTAATTCAGCAAAACGATTAATCTAGTTCTAATAAAAAACATGCAAGATTACAGCAATTTAAAATATGCATACTGCCAAAATAAGTACATAAATCTTTTCAGCAACACAATGTGCCCATTTCATTGGATTTTCAACACAAAATGTAGGTGGCTGGATCACATCAGATCCAGAGATCAGCAAAAGGGAGTACTGTACTCATAGAGTGGAACAAATGGAGTCATAAAGAAATATATTCACTAAATTAACATCATACAACTATATTTAAGATAATAGGAATATACCATGTCATGCAAGGGCATTACATTATGGCATATATAACTGCCTTTTCCTGCCAGTCATAAAATCACTATCTCTGAAATCATCTCATTAATTGAAAGGAAAAAAGGTTTAACACAGAGATACCAATCATAATCACAAGTTAAAATATTTTTTAAAAAAAGATAAAAACCCAACATATTCAATTTAAATCATTTATCTCTACGATTACTGACAAAAGCTACTTGTAAATTTATCATGGTCAGCTATTCTTATTTTGACATCATGGACAAACTAAAGCATATTTATGGGCATGCTTTATTTGCTTCTTGTGTCAAAAATCCCTCTTTCCCCACTTATGTAGCTCAGTCAGTTAAAACCAATGTCACACAGTATAATATTGATCATCCCAGTTGTTCAAAATCAATCAAGATTTACAAACTCTCCAGATGTTACAAACTGCACTGCTTTTAAAACGGCCACTGATCTTCTCCGAGTTACAGTCATTTGCCCAGTCTCCTTTGAAAAGCTTTTCTTACAGCACAGCAGGCCTGGGTGGTGCAGAAACCCATCTGTTTCACTTCCTACTGTAT